GAATCAACGTTGAAATGCAGAACGACTGCGAGGAGAAAGCTAACGGTTCAAGGTTAACACCTGTGTTGCCAACTTGCTCACCAAAACTTTTCTTTTCCTCTGGCGTACGGTGTATCTTTACTTTTCGAAATGCCCTCGTAATACAATGCAGCTTTAAACATTAATAACATTTATTATACTGCAACTAAAATAATATAAGCGATAGATATATTAATGTTAATACAAGCACATACAGAAGCTTAATAATATCTAAAGAACAAGATGATCATGGGATATATTAATATCACGTGATTAACATAGTTGACGCCCGTGTGTCTTGGCATTTTTTAGGTTGCCAGAAGTGAGTTAGAAAAAACATTTTATTTATTTATTCTCAAATACTTGATTTATTTACACTTTTTTTAACATATAAATTGTAAAGGAAAGCTATAAGTATAGTATAAAACAAGAAAATAGATGCAAATTTAGTGGATAAATGAAAAGTGGTCTGTATCCTGTTGCCAACAGTGACATCTGAATGAATATTAATTTCTCAAATTTTTTATCTGAAGTAAAATATAAAAAAATTTATAATACATGAAAATTAAAAATTGAAGTTGGTATGGTCGTTTTATCACTGTCAGATTCCAACAACATCAGGAGGTAGGTAAACATGACACTGGTACAGTTACCATAGCTAGCCCACTAGATATGTTTCTGTTCATCTCAAATTAGCAGAAGCATCAGAATCTATTATTTTAAAATAATTTTTTGTATCTCTGAAAATTTAAAGGAACTATACGTACAATATTCAGCCTGCCAAAATTGTAAATACAACTGCATTACAATATTGAATACAGTACAACCAATGTAAATATAATAATCTTCTGTAACAGAAATAACTGCATAAGCAATATTCTGTAACGGAAAATTTTCATTGGATCATAAGCATAAAAATGTCAAACAAAACTTTCTAGAAAACTATAAACAATTGTGAGCAGTAATTGCATACTGAAATATAAGCAATCTAGAATTAGTAAGCATTAATCAATGTTTTAAAACTTTCATCTAAATACAAAAATTATGAACTTAAAAATACCCATGTATAAATTAAAACTTGCTCAAACAATAGCTTCTGCTAAATGACCATTGGAAAAAATATAGGAGGATAAGACATCTGTAATAAGGTAGAACAAGTTTCTTTTCCAAATTTTAATCTCTTCTAGTAATATTGGTAAAAAAAAAAGCTGTTGTAAGCACTTAAAGAAAACTTTAAAAAATGTAAAGTACAAATACACAGCAAGTTAACATATTTTACAAATTTTACATATTAGAAACATTTGTTTACTCTTTTTTTTCTTTCTGCCTCATGATTTAAAAATGGGTTTTATTATGAAAACAATATTCATAGTTCATAGAAAATGTCAGCTTTTTTCAGTAGGGTTTTTTTTTTGGGGGGGGGAGACTTCATTGTTAGACAGTGTTTGTGAAAGCAATAAAATTTTTTGTTACTTTTGCATGATTTCTGTGCAAATATTTTTATATGAGCTAATTGATTATAAATAGTAGTTATTTACTGTAACCTTGTTAGAGATGTTACTGTTTCAGTTAATTAATTTGATTGGAAGTTGAAATCTCTTCTCAAATTGTCTGATTTCTTGGTAATTAAAAGGGCGAAGACCCAAATGATCAGCAGTCAGTTTATCTGATTTGGTCTTTTTAAGTTTAAGAAAAGCTGAATAAATTGTGATAGAATCAATGAGATTAAAATTGTTTAAAGTAAGAATATCATCAACATATCTGTAAGTGTAAGAAAATTTTTCAGGTCTTCAAATAAAAGTGAACATAGAAATCTGTACTCTTTTACTAAAGAGGTGAATGTTACACATTTGACTAGAATAATTTGTTCTCTTAGGAATGTCATTAATTTGTAGAAAAATAGTATCTCAAAACTTTACGTAACTTAGAAAAAGAGATTATGTGAGATATTCCATACAGCTAGTAGCATCCAAAATTTTAAGCATTAATTTTCAAAATTGGAGGCAACTTTTGGAGATTTCTCGCCAAGTTTAATAATAAAAATTAATTTCCAAAACCGTTGCCAGCTTGATGCTATATTATCTCAGTGTTAAATGGACCTGACCGTGCAGTCTTATTTTTCTGAGTAGCTTCGCATTCTTGAGGTATTTTATGTTACATTATGAGAGAGGTACTATAAATTCATAAGCACTTGTTATAAATGATCCAGTTAAACTGTTTTTCTCCATTTGCATTTTCAAAAATAAGTTTACAGATTTGTTTAAGAGAAAAAATCTAGTCATATCCTTTCTTATGGCTTTTAGTTCTGTTTGTTAGCAATAAATCTGAACTTGAACTAAACTTTTCTGGAACTTAGGCGGTGCATATAAGTTAGAAAATCTGTTGAACATAGAAATAAGCGATAATTTAAGTTTTTGTGAAAAGTATGAAGTTTATTAATAATTACTATTTTGTTACTTTTAACAGTACAATAAGTAACTGAGCTATTGCCAGAATTTAAATTACATTTTTAACAGTTTTTCTTCAAGTGTTTATAACTTTTTTTCACCAGTATTGCTTTGTGAGATTAAAAGTCACCAATATTAAGTAACCTTGCTCTGCCTAACACCAAATCACCTCTCTACATATTTTTCAATGGTTGTTTAGCAGGTTACTCCTTGAGTAAGTTTTAATTTATATCATCAACCTTTTTTATGCTCATAATTTCTTTATTTAGACGTGAATTTTTAAACATTTATTCATTCCAGATTATATATATTTCAGTAACCAATTGTTGCTCAAAATTTTTTATTATTTTCTTGTATAAAGTTTTGTTCTTGGACAGTTTGCCATTTTTATGCATATGATCCAATGAAAATTTTCTTATACATTGAATTTCATTTTAATATTATTTATACTAATGTATTTATATTAATTTTTTAAGCTGGGTATGTAGGAATAGCATCTTTAAACTTTAAATAATTTTTTAATTATAAATTTTGATGCTTCTGCTAATTTGGGATGAACAGAAATATATCTATCTAGTGGCCAGATATGGTAATTGATATCAGTGTTTGGTTTACCTATGTTCGAATGGTGTTCAAATTTTACAGTGATAAAAGGAAGATATTAATTTTCATGTATTATATGATTTTGGATTTTGGGTATCTAAAATTTAAAATTATTTATTCAGATGTCTGTCTCAGCAAAAGGTTATTGACTTTTCTCATTCATTCACTAAATTTGTACCTAATTTATTGTTTTATACAATAATTCTTGGTTTTGTTTTAGTTTATAAATTCAAAAAATTTGCCTGTTTGGTTATAATTTAAGATATTTAATTAATTTATTTATATATAGATTGATAGATAGATGGTGCATGATAAAAGTTTTGAGTCTGATATAGATGATAATGATAGAACTGAATGGTTTTATTCATTAAAGGTTCAGTCATCACATTTTAACGAATCATCTTTATATAAACATAATTAATGGTGCAAAAGAAGTCCAACTATGCGGAATTCAACTAATCAGAATATTTTAGAAATTCCCCTATCCCTCCCCCCCCCAAAAAAAAGCGAGCACATAAAGGACATTGTTGCCAAACAGGATGATTTGGTCCCAATAATGGATAAGCATAATGTTGCAGTGCAATCACAACACCTTCACCATGATTTTGTGTAAACCCTTTTAGCTCGAATAAACCAATTTAGTTTTCATAAAGAAGGTTATAGAAGCTTATAAGTTAATTGCTATTTATCTGTTTCTCCCTTGTGTTTTGAAGAAAATTATTAAGATTTGGGACCTTTCTTCTATTGGAGTTGTAGGATTCTGACATCTGGAAAAGTATGTATTTGATTTTATCTGAAAATGGGTAACCCATGGGTATGCAACATGAAAACTTACGATGACCATTTTAAGACTTTTATATGCTATACCCATGAATACGTATAGGTAGAAGTGGGTGAGACACCAGAATTTCACCATTGATCATACAGCTATAGTCCCACCATACTAACTATGCATTTTCACCCCAGTTTTGAGGAAGACCACACCAGGAGGTTATTCGAGGAGCTCTCATCCCTTTGTCCCTACTATCAACCTCTTGAGATAACTTTTAGCTCTTCATGTATTTTCAGTGCCCCATTCCACACAGACGTTATACACTTATGAACTTTCATGCCATCTTCAAAATTCAAACCTGAGCCCCTCCCCAGGAGCTCACTCTGTGTAAGTACAGGTGTGGCAATTCCAAGGTAGCCTAACCCTTTCAAGAGATAACCTTCTTGGTAAGATGAGGTCACTGTGATGTACATTTAAAATGACTGTAACTGTAATGGTGTTCATGCTATGCTATTCCGCTGTTGTGATGCATGTATTTTTGTGCTAGCTTAATGTCATGTGAACTGTATTTAAAAAATAGATTTCAGATCACCTGCTCCGCTGACATTCTCCTTTAGAAATGTTAAAGAAAAATGGAAGCAAGATCTAGAAAACTATTTACTAATTAAGGATTTCTCTTTACAGATTTTCATGTTTCTAAAGCAATAGAGGTCTAGAAAATACTGATTTGATAAACTAATTAAAATACTGACTAAAAAAATGTTTTCTTATAATTATTCGGTGTTTTAATTGAATTTCTCTTCCTTTGAGATGGTATATAAAAAGTTTTCTAACTATAAATTATTAGTTAATATATATATTCCAAGGACAAGTCACAAATAGCCTATCACTAACAATATTATTTTTGTTTGGAGGTATGAAAGTAGTACTATTTTTACTATTGATCAGAAAGAATATATTCCATGTTTAGCACTTCTTATTCACTGTCATTGTCAGTACCATTACAGTAGTTGCCTGCACTGTCACCACTACCGGCATCTGTGTATTAGGATAATTCATTCATTCATAACTTTTTTAAAGTTTGGAATGGAAGCGAAACTTTTATTTTCTTGTAAAAATATTCAGAATTGTGATTTAAATGATTTACTTTTGTCTTGCAGTTCCGAAAGAAGCAACTGAAATTTGCCAGAAGCAGGATTCATGATTGGGGACTTTTTGCACTTGAACCAATTGCCGCCGATGAGATGGTTATTGAATATGTTGGACAAATGGTGAGACCTCTGGTTGCTGACATGAGAGAAAAGATGTACACTTCTCTTGGTGTTGGAAGTTCATATTTGTTTAAAGTAGATGTTGATGGAATTATTGATGCTACTAGATGTGGAAATTTGGCAAGGTTTATCAATCACAGTTGTAATGTAAGATATATTTTGAATATTTGATTTAGCGTGAATATTTTTTGTTAATAAAGTTATTAAGAGATTAATGTGGTTTATGCACATATAACTTGATAATAGACCAGCGGTTCTCAACCTTTTGATTAATGCGTACCATCTAAACAAAATTTGAAAACCTTTAGTACCACCACTACAAAGTACTACTACACCACCACTCTTGAACAAAGCTCAGATCGCATAAATTTATGAATGTTAGAGAAAAAACGCCATCAAGATGTTGGGGTTTTAATTTTAATTTAATAGTTAAAAATACTTTGCTTCTTTGTGTACCACCTATTTTTCTCTTGCATACCACCAGTGGTGTGCGTACCACCGATTGAGAACCTCTGGAATAGACCAATAGGAATTATTTATGCTGCATAGGATCATTTTATAGGAGGGGGAACAAAATATCCTCTTCATATCAGTTAAAAATTCATTTGTACGTAAGTTGATATCGGAATTTAAAATTAACATTAATAATAAAGAGCCTATAAAAGTCTTCCTACCCTATATACCTATCTAATGTCGTGGAAAATTTAGAAATATACCTCTGGCGTTATCAGCAATATTACATCTCTGTAATTAAGCTATAATGTAATTTTTTTATTTGATTTAATTTTTAAAAAATTAATGTGGTAGTTCTGTTCTAATTATTTTAAAAGTTTTTATTTAAAAATAATAAATTGAATATGCTTTCTTAAATTCCTTGATATTTTTTAAAATGTTAGGTTTCCATTATTTTTCTGTTATGAAATATTTATTGCTGTGTGTTTGTTCATAACTTAAACTAAATATATGTATAGCATGTTACAAAACTTCACACACAAACTTTGAGGAAAAGTAGAGAACATTGATATCCATATTCACATAGAAAAACAGGGCTGAAATATCATCTTCATGTGTTAGTGTATAGAGATGACGAGAAATGAATGAAAAGTACTTAAGGGAACAAAATGCTTTTTATTACTCACAAAATATTTGTAAAACACACTGAGTGTACAGAAGGTGTTCAAAATGCACCTGTGAACCACAACATATGCTTCATTTCGTTAAGGCTTGGAAGCGTTTTCTTTTTGAAGAATTCCTGACATATCTTGGACTATAAACAACTATGTGCATGCTACAAGGTGCTCATCACTTGAAACAGGAGTGTGATACACCAGTCTTTTTATGTAACTTCAAAGAAAAGTAATCAAAGGTCCATTCACTAGCCTGCCATCTTGCAGGCTAGTGAAAAAAGTAGTGAAGCACAGACTAGTTTTTTTTTTTTTTTTTTTTTTTTTTTTTTTTTTTTTTTAATCATAACTATTCAAGAAATAACTTGGGGAACATGAGAATCAGAATACAAATACAATATTTTGTATTTAAAGGCTTCAGAAAAACATACTAGCATAAAATTGAATAGAACAAATACATTATAGAATCTTAACTCCAGTGGTTCCATGGCATCATTTACCCCTACTCAACATCAGATATCAAATTGGTAAGAATATATATTCCTAGATAAGTATCTGCTTCAGTTGGGTGTTTGCCAGTGAATGTGGTTCTGCAGAAAAGCATTTCTCCAAAGTATCCCACATGTATTCTGTTGGATGAAATTAAGACTTGGATTAGACTGGCCAGGCCAGAGTTGTATTAAACTGTTCAGTCCATTCAAGTGATTATCTTCACTCTCTAACAACTTTTCACTACACAAATCTGATTTTTCTGTTTATCGTCTATAAAAAATTATGTCTGAAGCGCCTAAGAACAGGGACACATGACAAAGATTATAGTTCATGAAATTTTCATATATAAATGATATATGCATATATTGAAGCTAGAATGCACAGCATTTCATTTGCTGACTAGAAGACAAAGAATGTTTTAAATGTGATCACATTTTTCATTTTAGTGTGTTAAAATTTGGTCTATATTTTATTGACAAAAATTTTGAACATATTGCATTATAAACTAAATAGAATATAATTTGCTGTGAGCAACGAGAGTTTACAGAGAATGTTTAAGAAAAGTATCTTTGTGATCTTAGAAATCTCTTTTCTAAAAAATTACAGAGATAAGCTAAATCCTGAAGGGAAAGATATATCACATGTAGCCAATGTGCCACTGAGTGAAATCTAAAATGCTATTCAACCAACTCTTTGAAGAATGCTGGAAGTAGCTCAAAACTAACTCTATCGCAGATTTCAAACACAAACACTAGTATAGGTATGCCTGGCCTTCTGTAAGCTTCATTTAAATTTACTTCCAGAGCTTCATTTTTCTAAAACTTCCAGAGATTCGTTCAGGTTGGTGAGAATAGCCAAATGTCCTAGTGCCTTAGTCTTATTAATTTAAAAGCTCATGTGAAGTGTATAAAATATTTAGCATTTGTAATTGAATCTGAAAATTTTATTTTCAGAATGAAGTAAATGAACTTTTAATCCTATAACATAGAATTAAAAGCATACTTTTGAGAACTGTAATATCATTTATTAAAAATGTTTTTCTTATTTAATGTATCATTTTATTTTTATGGAAATAAATTACTAGTTTGATAAGATTTGATTTTTAAATATTCATGAAAGTATTCTCTCAGTTGTAAGAAACTGAACCCTGTAAGTGGCTAAATTGTGTATACCATATTTCCTCGCATATTTCCCCCTGTTTTTTACTAATTTTATTGTCTGAAAATCGAGAAGAAAATTATGTAATTTAATTACCAAAGGATGGGGTTACAGTAAGAACATAACAAATGAAAAATAATCATAGATAAATTACAAGTAACTATCACAATATTATTTCTTTGAAACAAACCTACATTTCAATAAGAATACATAATAGTATTAACAATACGAGATCTAATAAGTTATCTTCAGTTCTCCTTCCTTGTAACTTGAATCTTGTCCATTCTCTTCTCTTTGTTGTCTTTGCTTCTACTTGGGCTTCAAATCATCAATAAATATTTAGAGAAGATGAATATGCAGCTGATTCAGGGAAAGCAAAGACTGAATGTCAGTTCATGTTTGTTTCATTGTCATGGGTCGGTTCTTGTATTAGGCTGGGATAAAGCTCAACAGTAAAAAGGGAAAGCTTCAACGTGACTTCACAGGTAGTTTGCAAGGGTTTGTCTTAAACTATGTGGATGTACCCATTTTAAAATTTAGGGGAGTTCATTCTGGGAATAAAATTTTCAGAACCTGGTGCTAAAAGGCTAAGGGTAATCATTCATGAGGAAACATGGTATAGATTTAGAACTGCTAGTTTTTAAGTACACAGATATATATACATCTTGAAATAAGATTTGCATTCAATTATTACTAAAAATGTGATATTTAAAATATAAACTTCAAATTCACCATCGCTGATACAGCAACACACTTAGTTTGCTAACTTGAGCTTTTTTGCTGAATGCTGTATTAGACAGGAACAAGATATGAAACTAGTGAATGTTTTGGTAGTTGCTTTAGAAAACCATGCATGTATATGGGTGATCGTTTCCAAAACTATCATACTATGAAAAATTTCAAAACATAATATTTTTATTTTGTTGAAGATTTATAAACGTGAACTTGTTTTATATAATGCAGCTAAGAAATAAATATTTTGTTTTAGTGCAGCAATTCTATTTTTTATATTATATATGTACACTTGTAACTAACATAGTGCTGGAGTTGTTGATGTACTATTATAAGTCACGAAGCGGGAGTAGAAAGGGTTAAAGTAGTATGTATATTAAAAGTAAAGAATCAGAATACAGATTGGGAAGGTTGCTTTGAAGTTATAATCAGAAAAATACCTCTTACTTGTGGTCTTTTTGAAAGTGTTACAAGTTCAGAGCCAAACTCTTAACCGCTTCTTAGTTAATATTCTGTGCTATGTTTTAAACTTGTATCTTATGTTGTTCATTCTTCTAGTAATCTTGTTAAATAACTGTTGTTGAATTATTCAAAATATTATTTGTTTCATAACCTCTCCCTTTATTTTTCAGCCAAATTGTTATGCGAAGATCATTACAGTTGAGGGTCTGAAAAAGATAGTTATTTATTCTAAGCAACCAATTAATGTAAATGAAGAAATAACTTACGATTATAAGTTTCCCATTGAGGATGAGAAAATCATTTGTCTGTGTGGGGCACCACAGTGTCGTGGGACGCTCAACTGAAGTTCATACATTTGGAACTGTGGCAATATATCTACATGTGATAAAAATTCAAAGAATATGACAAATTGTGTGGATTTGCTACACAGTTATTGTCAAAAATTTAGATAATTGTACATAATCAGTTCTGTTGTTTCATTCATTCTATCCATGTTACCATATTTTTGGAAGTGTACATATAAAAAGAACCATTTTATATAAGGAGAAAAAAATCTAGCATAAGTTGAAAGTCGTAACATATTTTGAAGTTTTAGTTTTATTTAAATTATAATTTATATCATGTGAAGTAAACAAATCCACTTTCCGAATGTGTATTCACATCTGTAAATGAAGACAGAATTTCCCATCATGTTTGTTGATTTTTTCTGTATTTAAAAAAAAAAAAAAAAAAAAAAATTTGCTGTTTCAGTAAGATAATTTAAGACTGTATTAAGTGCCACTGGAAATAAATGTATTTTATAGTTTGATCTTTGTCAATGTTTTTTAATACATTGCAGCATCTGCAGTCCTTTTAAAGATAATTTTATAAATTTTGAAATATTATTTTTGCAACCAAGAGTTTTGAAGAGGAGATGTAGTTTGTAATGCATACATAATGAGTAGATATTTGTAATAGTAACATTAATTTGTATCACAATGTGTAAATTGCATTGACTGAAAAAGATCCTGCTTCTTTTCCATCTTATGTTTATGAAATAATATTTTATTTCATCTTTTCCATTTTTAAAATTATTTTAAGCATCTCTAGATTAATATTGTATTAATATTACTTTAAGTGAGGTTTGTATAAATATATTTAATAGAAGTTTATTTTATTTTTAATAATTTGTGTCTTTTAAGATTATGGCCTGTGTTTTGAACA